TGATTCTTGCCTGCTCTTCTGGACCAGATGTTTCAATGTGTGTAGGAAAGGCAGTAAGACTGAGTGTAAACTGATAGACAGCTGTCCTAAAGTCTGATATCTTAAGGGTTTCAAACACCCCTTTTGTGATTGTCCCTTTATTGAGCCTCCTTTGCCTACTCATACCCCACTCTAAGGGCATATCCAATTTTACATTGTTCTTGTATGGACCATAAAGGAGGCTAGAAGTGAGGTAAGAGATAACCTACTTGCTAGGGACACTGCGGAACAGGACCCAGGAAGAATACGAAGACCTGAATTCACAGTTGTTTTTTTTGTTTGTTTTTTTTTGAGTTGGGGTTTCATTCTGTTGCCCAAGCGGGAGTGCAATAGCACAATCATGACCTACTGCAGCTTCAACCTCCTGTGCTCAGGTGATCCTCTGCCTCAGCTTCCTGAGCAGCTGGGACTACAGGTGTGTGTCACCAAGCCCAGCTAATTTTTTTTTTTTTTGTAGGGATGAAGTCTTGCTATATTGCTCAGGCTGGGTTCGAAGTCCTGGGCCAAGCAATTTTCCCCACCTCGGCCACCCAAAATGCTGGGATTACAGACGTGAGAAACTGTGTCCAGTCACAACTTCAACATAAGTATCATGGCACAAAATGAGAGATGGAAGTTCAGGAGATAGTTTATTCAATGCTAAGTGAGGTGAAGAGTGGCAAGTCTAAAATGCATCCCCTCTACATACATTCTCATCTTGTTCCTCCTCTACTGGTACAAAGATATACATATTCATCCACTCAACTCACCATTTCCTGGTAACTAAAATGGCAGGGGCTTCTCCACAACCCATTCCTGCCCACAGCAGCCATACCCACCTTCAGACCCTTCAGGTGATTGCTACTGGCCGCAAGGGCGCTCATTTCCGTGGTCTCTGTGGTTTCTATCCCTGACTCCAGGGGTCAGAAATGTCTGTTGCAGTTCTTCTTGTTGGAAAACTGAAGAATTCTGGAATTGCCCCTGAAAAGAAAGGAAGACAAGTGGATGAGAGTCAGTAACAACGTGATCATAATCATGCTTATGTAGGTGGGCTAAAGGAAGGCTGGGTGGAAACTCAGCAGGGGTAGAGTATCAGAGAGGTGAAAGAAAATAATATCTCAATATGATTTATCTCTTTGCCATCTTTCTCCTATTATGTAACTCTGCCTCTATTTTCACCCTGTTCATTCACTTCTCTTAAATATGCTGATTTTCCTTATTTTCTACAAAACTCCTTTCTTGCCTGATCCTCCACAAATGGAACAAAAGCCTTACAACTTTAAATCAATACATCTAGGTATGAATTAACTTCTGTTCTTCTATATGTAACAAAGACTGTGGTATCTCTTATACTTGCATTAAATTAAGCTTTGTGAAGACAAGTATCTTGATTTATGTCATTTAACGTTCAAGTACTTGTACAACATTAATGAATATGCACAACCAGCTCAACAGAGGTTGTGGCAAGAGAAAGGGAGAAGGAAAAGAGGAAGAAGGAAAGAACAGTATGAGATTCTTGAAGAGGCTATGCTGCCCAGCATTAATGGGAGTAGAGGAATTTAGGAAGTCTTAAGGGAAAAGCAGTAGGATCTATCTGCAGTGATGGAAACAGACAAGAGGACTGAAGGAAGACAGGGATGCACTAAGTAGAGAGCCACAACTTTAAAAAAATATATTAATTGTTAATACATAAACGTATACAGAGGCTGAAAAAAAAACTGGCCTATAATTCCACAGCACCAGATAACCCTTACTCATATGAATGTTATATATTTTACATATGTGTGCATGTGTATGTTGTGTATAAAATATTTGTATTTGATATAAAATGCATTTTCATAGTCAGGATGTTGAAACAAAACAGAAAACAAAATAAAAAATTAAAGCATCCCTCATCCTTCTTCCAAAGGCAACATTTTTTGGTTATGATTTAGTTTTGATGAGGTGTCAAGAAGACACTGGGCCCAAAGTATTGAATTACTCCTTCAGCCTTAACTGTTTACATAATTATGAAATCTGGCTGGAAGGAGAAAGGAGGTGACCTGAAAGTTAGATCCCCCAAAACTTTTTTTTTTTTTTGCAAACTGTAAGGTCAGTTTACCCTCCCTCTCATCCCTTCTTTTAGGAAGTGCAAGAGCAGTGTGTTTCCCTCTTAGCCTGGCACCACTCTTCCAGAATGCTGTTGAAATGAGGGAACCACTGGAAGCCTTGACATGCACTCACTGCTACATAGACAGTGCTTTGTATAAAAAGACCCAGGACAGAAGTAAGAGAACAAGTGGCTAAGCACCCAGCAAATATAGTCAGCAATTTAGTTTATAAATTGCTTATAAATTGCTAAGTATTAACAATCAGTTGATAAAAACAGTTATTACCACACTGATTCTTTCAATGAATTTTATTGAGCATCCTCTATGTGCCAAGCAACTGTGCACGGTGAATACAATGCTTAAAACAATAAACAAAGACAGACTTCCTGCTTTGGAGAGTTTATAATGTAGTCAGGGGACAAGCGGGAGGCATATATGAATAAAAGAAACATAAATGTAAAATTACAACCATGTTAAGTGCTACAACATAAACATACATGTTTACATATGCTTTTCTCAGAAGTTGTGATTTGAGATTTTCATTATAAATTCAACTGCTTGGCTTATCAATGTTGTTATAGACATAATTTTTAGTTAACAATGACATAAATACTACTCCAAAATTAAACTCTAAATAAATGTGCTCACAACTCCAAACTATTTCCATTTGTCCATGTTCTCACATAAATTGTTAACAAACGAAGACTTTATGTTCTCATCCTAGGTTTGGTAGATCAGCTTTGTCAAGGTGAGGAGAAGCAATGCTTATTAATATACAAATAAGTTTTTAAAAATTTCATTTCTATGATATACTATCTCCTCTCTGAGCCCTCCACCACCTTAAAACAAAAGAACACTTTATGTCCCTGTTGGATGCCTATACCTTCTCTACTCCATTCTTCCTCAGTCCCTAAACCTGGAAGTCTGATAAATGGACTTATTTGCTACCAAAACATTAACTTTTATTGGCTTTTTAGAGAGATGAAGAGGCATGGGGTGAAGTGAGAAAACTATATTACCCAGCAATATAAGCAGAAAGAGATCATTACATGCCTTGTGAATAGAATCGCTGTGAATAGAAGATGGCTTATAAAGCAGGAAGCCTCCATTCACAAAGCCTGGTGACATTTTTAGGAGGCTATTACACAATTTAGGTAAATGTTGGTATTTTTTTTTGGCCAAATTTAAATATAATTGTGGGTCATTTGTTCTCACAGTTGAGTCCAATAAAAATTGTTCCTGATAGTTGCCAAAATTTAAACATAGTTATGCCATAAGCCACATTTAAAAATCAGGGCCCACTCCTTCATCTCCTAAGTTGAAAATTTATTCAACACTATGATAGCAGTGAATAAAAGCAACAAATACGCTACCTCTAACTATGGAATTAGAGTTCTGCCTTTCCTTTCACCTGGCTTTTCGGGATGGAATGCAAAGCTAGATCCCACTGATCAGAAAGGAAGAAGCCAGCAACACTTCCTGTCCAGACTACAGATTTCTAAAAGCTCTCCCTCTGCTGGTTCAAGGAAGCTATGAAGAATGCCGTTCTACAACTCAGAAGTGAGCATTAGTCTAGAAAAAGTCCCAGATTAGTAAGCATCTGCCTTTGGTGTAAATCCTGAAGCTATCCAGAGAATAAAAGAGCTGCTACCAAACCTAGGCTGAGTACTCAAAGCTACTTCAACTAGTTCTACCCTTCCTAGATTTTTCCTTTCTTCTTTTCCTACCCTCTCAAGTGGCCCCCTCCTACCCAAGAGAGTAAAATTCTGACTCCCTCAGAGAGGGAGTAAGGTTAGGATTACGAACTAGATATGATTAGCTCCTCCTCACTCTTTCCCTAAGTCCCCAGAAAGAGGTGACCTACTAAGTGAACAGGCCTAAAAATCAGTACAAACTGGCATTAGAAGTTCTGAAGTTTCTTGAGTTCCCTGAATTCCTGCAGATCACCTTCTATAATGGGGAGGGAGTATTTCTCTAGGAAAACAAATCTCTCTGAAGCTCTCTAAACCTCTGAGTTTAACTTCTTCTAAAGGGACCTCCTGAGTTAGTATATCGTTTCCAGGCAGAAAATGCATTGAAATCAGGCTTCAACTGAAAAAGCAGTTCTAGAATGTTTACGCAGGTAGGATGGCCTGTCTGTATACATTTGGTGCTGAAATGGAGTTAACGATCGTCATATTAAAGAAAACTAAAACCCTGTGACACAATGTAGTACAACTAGTCTAAAATCACAGCAAGGCACATTGCTGAGGCATAGTTAAGGATCTAGCTCTTCCAAATCCAAGTCCTTCCACATGATGAAAAAGAGAGGCAAGGATGACTTCTACATTGACATTAGTGAAGGTTCTAGAAACATTAAATAGCCTCCCCAAACTCAACCTAGGAATTTTACAGCCCAGCACACAAGGAAACAGGAAAAATGATCAGCATTATCTTTGAGGAATAGGTGGGGAAATAGGACTCTGAAGCCTCTGTAGAGCCAGGTTATAAAATGCTGATGAGGAATATCAAGAGGAAACTGGGACAGAGATTAGAAAATTTGAGAACTGAGTTCTCTGATTCCCGAGAGCACCCTCAGCTAGAACCTGATTGTCCTAGGGGAGCTCAGTTTCCAGAAGCACCTAAGGAGAGTCAACACAGGGGTATATACAAAACTTCACAATAGGAAGATGTCAATACCAGACAAGTGTTGTCTATTCGCTACCCATCCAGGCAGCACTGGGGCACAGACTATATAACCTAACATTCAGGCATGAAGAAAGTAGCTCTGAAAAGTGAGAAAAAAATGGTTAGGGGTATGGACAGATTATAGGGCAGCAGAGGTTCGCTGTTCTAGTTTTCCTTTGGAGTTCAAATGTATGTGGTTTCAAAACAAAAATCCAGAAAGAAACGTGAGATTAATGCATTTATTCCAATTAATACATTAAAAATAAACTTGTCCAAGCCAACTCATAAATTCTTTAATCTTTTTAACAAAATGTACAACCCAAAACATCACTCTACAGTGGAAATAAACTGGGAAAGGAGGAGGTAAAGGAAAGGATACATATGGGTTTGTGGAACAGGGAATGAGTCCGATCCCAAAACAAGTTTCAGATCTTCTACTTCTTCAGAACAGAAATGGCTGCTAAACAATTTAATACAAAATGTTACTGGATCACAATACAATAAACAAAGTCCATTTCAAAAATAAAAGTTATCCCAAAAGCATATCTGCTCTTGGCATTGAGCCACAAATAAGCCTTACCGATTTGTTGTCTTCTAAAAGTGAGCCTGCCAGATTTCCTTCCATGTTTACTGAGGTCATTTCCAAACAGGTTTGTGGGTTAGCAGAACCATCTCAAAGGAAGGCAACACAGTAAGGGAAGTACAGGAGTTGACATGCCAATAAGGGAAGTAAACAGTAAACAAAAGAGCTACTCACGGTGCATTTGAAACTATGTTAAGGCAGGCCTATCCAAATGGAAGCCAAAGAGATAAATAATTCTTCCTTCAGGCTTTCCATTTCAGCAAACCTTCTGGTGTTTCCCCCAGAGATCCGTCAGCTGCCCCGGAAATTGAGTAGGAATACAACACAGCAACTGGAGAGGTCAGCTCTCTGTCTCCCTCCTCCCCCACATTCCAGAAATGGCAGAGTCAAAGCCAAAATACAATCAAAGCACACTGTGTGTTGAGCCAGATAGATGTTTGATTTTAATGACAAAGTAGGAGAAAATAAATTGGCCAAAAAAAAAAATTAACAGAAAATACTTTTTACAGTTATGTATAGAAGTTATTGATTTGTCTGATATTTTAAAGGGAAAGGAAAAAGGGAGGTAAATTTCTGTTAGCTTCCACAAACGTTTTACTGTAAGATGCTGACTGCATCTCTTGGCGTAGGTTCCAGATGAGATAGCAAACCAGTCCTGGATCATCTGGGCATCTGATTTCTAGAAGCCAATTTGATTCATCCACAAGTAGCTCTGGGTGTTAACTCTTATTTGTGAACACTGGATTCTGTGTGGTCCTGGATGGCGTTAACTGTAGTTTCTTCTTCAGGGATTTCCTGAGGGACCATAATACCTCCAACTACCTGCTCCCTTGGAGGGGACCGTGAAGCTGGAGTTTTTACCAAATTCAAAGGGTTGCCGTTGTCATCACCTACTTGAGGAATTGCCATGTCTATAATGGATGCATTCGGTATCTCTAGTTGTAGTGGGCCCATCTCCAGGGAACTACACTTAAGAGGGTCTCCTGGCTCAGAAAGTGGAGAACAGAGTTTCTCTTTTTGAACTCCAGATGTTCGTGTAACAAAGTCAACAAGGTCTGGAAGGCAAGGAGATGGCCCAAGGCCTGTAGGAGTAATTATTTCTGATTCCAATCTGAGTGACTCTTGTTTCTCTAATCGGGAAGTTTCTTTTACTTCATCAGGCATCACTCCTCCTGCTAACAGGTCAAGGGCCTGATGTGTTCCCTCTAAGGCTCCCAAGCTACAGTCAACATTTTCTATAGGAAGTCCAGTTTTCAAAATGTTAGAAGTGATTCTGACACTTCTTGGATTAGATGAGATTTGCTTACCTTCTGTCTCAAAGTTAAGCACCAAGGTTTTGGGAGAATCTAACGGAAAGCCAGAAAAAGATGATATTGGTTCAAACTCAGAGGAAGTAGAGGAATTACACCCTGTAGATGATACTGTATTTTCTTCACACACTTTCTGAAACAGGGCAGTTGGGGATCTATGTGCTGGGTCTGCCCGAGTATTGCAGAAATCAACATGCATATCCCCCAGATTTCCCAAGGCAGCAAGTTCCTCTACTTTTAAGTCTGTAGCTTCAAGGTCTTCTAAGGTCTTGCTTTCTATTGTCCCTGTTAATTTTGAATGGGCATCTTGTAGCTCCAGGGTTTCCACTTCTGGTTTCTCTGGGCTTTCCCAGGTCTCAGGCCTATTCTTGTTTTCATCCCGAACAGCCAGCTCATAGATCTTTTTACCTTGAAAGTCTTTTGAACTTTCTCTCTTGAGTTTGAGGCTTCCACATCTAGAAGTTCTAGAAACTGATTCTGGAGCTGAATTTTCTAGCCACTCCTCACTACCAGCTGAAACTCCTTTCTCAGAACGATCTGTTAAACACACAGCTGATCTGGCTGGGGACTGAAGAAGCAATTCTGGAGTAGAAATTTTCACAGGTATATCTTGTGAGTTCTGGAGTAAGGACCTAGCTTCAGAAGAAAATAAGTCTTTTTTTGCCCTTGTGGATGAAAGAGCCTGTGCACTTAATTCAATCACTACTTTACTTGGAGTTTCATTTCCTGTCATCAATTTTGTGGACTGTTCAGCCTCTTTGTTAATTATTAGCAACTTGGGCTGTTTTACTTTTCCCTCCCACATGTATCTGTTCCCATGGTTCAAGTTAGAATCTTTTATGTGGTGGGGCCTAACAATACCTGCTTCCTCTTCAACCATCCCCTCAGAGAGCACTGTTACCTTTCCTTTTAGTCCACTGTTTGTCTCTACCTCACTTTCTCTACAATCCTCAGACTGGCGGAGTTCTTGGCTTTCCTTCTCCTGGTTACTAGATTCTCTGAGGTGGATTTCTACCAACTTCTGAGATTCCTTGGTATAATGGTGTATATCTAACAGCTGAGGAGCTGGTTCTACACCAGGTGGCCCTGGCTCTCCCAGGTCAAGCTCAATTTTCCCCTCTGGAGATAAATCCCTTTTAGTTTCACTCTGGAAGGAGCTAGAAGTCCACACGGGCAGAGAGTCTGTCTTTGGGGTATTACTTTCATAAGACCTGCTTTGGCACAACCTTGTCAGAGGCTGTAGAAAGCTGCTGCCTCTCCTTTTTGGGTGTACAACTGACCATTTCCCTAGGGACACTGGAATTTTTGCAATGAGCTTTTCAGAGTTGCTGACTACAGGAGCAGTAACCAAACCCCTATCTTGATGCAACTCCTCTTGTGATGTTCTGCTGTTCAAAGGAGAAGTGACAGAAGTGTCTGAACTTTCAGTTCTAGAGAGATTGCTGTTTTCCCCGTTGGCCAACAGACCACTACTCAGCTTAGTCTCAGGGGTCCCCTTTCCACCACTACTGTAGAATATGTCATACAGGTCCTTAGCATTGGCTGTGGCTAAACAAGAATTTCGCTTCTCCAATTTTTTGGCTTGTTCACTGAACACACTTGAGAGGGGTGGTGGAGGACGTACTAACACAGAAAATAAGGTCTGATCCCGATCACTCTCACTCACCCCTGGAGCTGTTTCATCAGAAGGAATGGCAGCTGGCTGTGCTGAGGCCATAAAGGCTATAGGCAACACTGGGTTCAAAACCTTAGGACCCACGAAGCCAGGGCCGAGAGTATGAGATACAACTGGGTTTGATTTTACTGGAGTCAAGACATCATTTGCTTGAGCAGGAGATGGGGCAGCTGGATGAGGTATAACTGGGAGGGGTGGAGGAGGTGGGGGTGGGGGGGGTGGAGGAGGTGGGAGCATTTGCTCAGGTATATGGGATGGCTCATTCTTTTCAGTCAACACCATTTTTTCCTCTGGAGACCCTTTTAGGATCACCTCTTCCCCTCCAAATGCTTTGGAGATGATGTCTGGAGGCAAGAGGAGATCAGCAGAAGACTCTTTAACCACTGGCAGAGGCTTAGCAGTGGTTCCAGAGGACTTGATGGACAGAAAGGTGTTAAGAGGAGCTGGCTTGCTCACGGTGGCTGAACCTGACTTGCGGAGTACTGTGGATGGGATAGGCAGGTTGGGTCGGATCTTAGTCTGCGTTGAAGTTGTCACAACAGGCATCCAAGGGCTCGTATGTGCAACAACAGTTTTCCCAGAGAGCTTGATTTTGATGGGCTTTGCCTTCCCAGCTTCAGCTTTGCCATCCTCTTTGTCCTTACTACTTTCTACAATCTCTTCTTTAGGGATACTTAGGGCCACCAGTGAACTTTTCTCCTCTTCTTTTTCTGGTTTCTTCCAACTGAATTTCCCAAAAGATGATGATGCTGGTGATTCCTTCTTTACTTCTTCTTTTAATTGGAGTTTGACGCTAGCATTTCTTTTATTTTCAGTTTTTTCGGGGGAGTTCCTACCCTCAGAGAGTTGTTCTTCTAATTCCTCAGAGACTTTGTCATCCTCCTTTAGTTCTTTCATTACCTTTGCCTTTTTTTCTTTCTTCTCCTCCTTTGGTTTCTCACTAAGTTTGCGCTTTAGCTCACTCTGCCGTCGCCGTTCTGTCTCTAGGACCACAGCCAAGCCAGCTTGGCGGTCCAGATTCCGCCGCTCCTCATACAATGGGTTTTCATCTACATATTTCTGGGAAGAAAAAAAATAAAGACTCAACAACTGGTGAAAATACCATAACACAAAATCTTGGCCCTGCCACTGTTAGAATTCATTTAGTAGAAATCTCCAGAGTAATACTCCTCAAGAATATAGATGGTGCTATCAGCTGAGCATCTCTCACTAGGATTGGGGAGAATTTCCTATTGATTATATGGAATTTGAAGTGTCAATAACTTTTTCTGGCTCTGAAGTTGTCTGACAAAGTCAAAAGAATTAATGCAGAAAGTTGGAAACTCCACATGCTACTTCAAAGACCAACCTTGTATTTCTCATTGTGTTGGTGACCCTTCACATGTTGCTCCCCAGAAATTGGATCCCCCAAAAATTCCTCACAGAGCTGGCAGTAAAATCCAGTGACAGGAATCAGAAACTCAGAGCCTGAAAGAGGTAGAAAAAAGTCAAGGAAATAAGTCGTTTCCACCCAGAATGACAGCAACCTAAGAAAATCCCACCACCCCTTTGCAGTAAAATGATTATATATTAATAGTATAGAGGACCTTACCCACTTTGAAGTCAGAAGTAGCATTTAGATAAATCAAATGGCATAGTCTTCCCAAGCTAAGGCTTAAACTCTAGACCTCATTCCTTCTACCTCTTGAGAACACTAACTGGTTAACTCAGGAGTAGTCTGTGTCAGACCCATTCCTGTAGCTGATTCTCCTTAACTCTAACTAGCACTAAACACCTTAGGAGATTTAAAAGCTATACTCCCAATCAGCCCACTACTATTTGTATGACATGTTGATATTAATTACTCAGAAATTTATCATCTATAGATCTAGAGGATACAGTAGTAGCACTGGCTACTTGTGAAGGTAAGAAACGGAAAAGTTTAAGGACAAAGAAAGTTTCTACTTCTCCACTTAACCCTTAATAAGAACTGTACAGTTCTTAGTTGAAAAAGAATTAAATTACTGCATCTCTTAATGTCCTTGTTAACCTGGATTTCAAATAAATAAGATTTGGAGTGCATAACTCAATGACAGAGACAGTTCTGCTATATTCTAAGTAATATGTATATGTGTAACATCTGTTAGTAGATTTTTGGCCATATGGGTAGAGATCATGGTCTTAAAGATCTCTTTATATCTTTCAGGACCTAGTCATGATTTTACACAGAGAACCTTAGTTAAAAGGAATGGCTATTTCTCATGCTATGCTGCTTTCTAGCACCTTAGTTCAAGGGCACCTCTTCCTTGGCTGAATGTAAGGAAAGCACAAAGGAGGCAAAGAGGACACATACCTTTTGCAGGAACAGTTATCTTGTCAGTGCGCTTTACAGCATCTTGCTTGGCCTCACTCTGGGTCTTTGAAGCCCAAGGTCTGTTGTAGGGATCCAGTGTCTATTTGTAAGAGGCAGAGGTGCTCACACAACAGCACTAAAAACTCAATGACCCACTTTTCTCTCTCTTTTTTCCCCTATACATAAGAACAGGGAACCAAAAGTCCCCAGTCGCCCGCCCCCACCCCCTCTGCCAACTGTTTAAATGGAAATCACCTGTGGAAAAGGTAAACACATGTTAGAGCAAGCACTGGAAAAAGATAAAATGAAACAAAAAATCAGGTACTCAAGGAATTAAAAGAGGCATAAGCCTCACTTACACTTGTCATGGTGTTTAGTTACAGGCAGGTCCCCTGGACTGAGCCTGGGGATGGTGTCTCCTTTGTTGGTATCTCTTGGCTCTTCAGATTGGGGCTCCTGCCCATATGAGAATGTTTCATTTTCCAGCTTTGTAATGCAGATGGGGGTATAGAAGTTTGAGGAAAGTGAAGGTATGACTAGAAATAATAAAGGGCGGTATACCTACCTGTGTGTGCTTCTTATTGTGCATATGGGTGAAGAAGTCAAACATGGTCCCACAAATGGTGTTGCAATCTTTGCACCAGTGATTGCCAGCATCATAATACTCATAAGCAGCAGTGGGCTGATCAGACAGCTTAGTGACTGGTTGGGGGCTTTCCGCAGGCTTGGGGCTCTTAGTACGGGACTTCTCATTATTAACCTTTGATTCCTAGAGGGGAAAAAATTTACACTTACAAGGAATCCAAGGCAATCTAGATCTGTCTTCTCTCAGAAAAAGTGGCCATAATAATTGAAATATGGCCGTAAGACCATATTTCCAATGTCTAAAGCTACACAAGCTGGGAGGAACTCTAAGAGAAACATGTCTCCAAGGCTCAAACAGAACTAATTGGAATTCATAGTGCTATCACAACATGGAGAGTAAATCATACAGGCGATATATTTACTTACATATCCTAAAATATCTCTAGCAGAATACCCAAGATTGGAAACACTGGCTGCCTCTGGGGAGGGAAAGTGGAGACTAGGATGGGTAGGAGTCTTTTATTGTATATACCCTTTGGTAGATGAATGTAATATCTATGCAATTAAATACATTAGTAAAATTTGAAAATCATAATGACAACAAGGGAGGGAAGAAAACCAAAATGGAAAAAATAATTGACAGGTTAAGCAAAGCAAGTGCAGAATAGGTAACAGTGAACTCATCATATGCATCCTTATATGGAAAACTAGAGAGTAGGGTTGGTGGTGTGCATAGATAAAACAGGCATCTATGTGGGATGACTTAAAGGAATCTGAGTAAAATATTCTTAAATGCCTAAAATATTACTGTTAGAATGGAACATCTCTGATTTAACATGAATCTTCTTTTAAAACATATCAACTCCCCAACATGAAGTTATCAATGATAAGTACTTTAATATGAATTAGTTTGTTACCAAACTAGGAATAAAGCACTCAGGAAAGTAAAATTTTGGCTAATATTGGCGAGTAAGATGCAAAAAAAGATAATTTTGAGACTCAGAGGATAAGTTTGAATGGGGTTCTTGTAGTAGACAAGAAGAGGAAATATTTGCTGGTGGAGAGAAATAGATCAGATAAAGGGAAACAATTAGTAAATCAAAGATATTCTTTCCCTACCTGAATCCTATTCAAGAGTCACTAAAGAGATCACACCAAACAGGGTAGTGTATGGGTTCATACACTGCTGGTAGGAGTATTAGCTGGCACAATCTTGTAGAAGATAATCTAGAAATATGTGTTACATACCTCAAAATTGTGTATACCCTTTAACCCAGCAATTCTACTCCTTGACACTTATCCTAAGAAAATCATTATGTTAAGCAACAGGTGATTTGATTGGTTAAGTAAATTTGCTATCCATACAACAAAAACAACAACAAATACGGTTGTTAAAAATATTATAGAAGTGTATTTATTTACATGGAAAGATGTTAATAATACACTGAGAAAACTAATAAAATACACTTGAATAATCAATAAAGATATGCAAATAGGCATAGAATGTTAAATGTTACTATCCAAACAACCTTCTCTAACCACTCTATACTTCTTATTCTGTTTTTTAGACATTCATCATTACTTAACATGTATTTTATTGTCTTTCTTCTCTTAGTTCATGAGAATATGAACCTTGTCTATACTGTTCCCTGCTATACTTCCCATATCTAGACTACTGCCTGAAAATTTCTTGGTGATCAACAAATATTTGTTAAATGAATTAATGAACAGAAAAAGAGTATTTGGAATAATACACACCAAGGTATTAATAATAATTGTCTCCAGATGGGATGGAATTATGGATATATGTATATTTTTCTGAAATGAATAGAAAGAGAAAGAAAATCTCAAATCAATTATACATTCTAAAAAGAGGCAAAGAATGAAGAAATACCAAGGACAGATAGGAGGCAAAGATTATGGACAAAACATTCCTTACTGATGAGAAGAAAACCAAATTGTAACATATCCCTGTTGGCTTCAGAGAACATACTCACCTGAATCAAAATGACAGATTATCATGGGGTTAGTATATAAATAGAACTCCAAAGTAAACTACAAAGGCCAGAGTTTCTTTGACTAAAGGCCCCAGACTCCAGGCCCAGGTATAAAAAGACAATAATCCTACTTGATTGAGAAAGAGAACTCTCCCAGGAAATAGGGGGAAAAGAGAGCTTGGGTGATAGACAATACGAATATATCCTCTTACCTGCCCCTCAACAATAACTGAGGATGTACTATGTGCTAGAAATGCTGTATGCTGTGGAAAACAAAGATAAATAAGTTATACTCTTTTATCCTCAAGAAGGTCTCATGCAGTGAAGGAGACAGACATAAGAATAGTCTTTAGATAAGACAGAATGAAGTAAATGTTACAAAGAAACAATATGTTATGGGAGTGCTGCAGAATGGCTGACTATATTTGGGTGGGATTCTGGGAATTCGTCATGGAGGAAATAGTATTTAAGTTGGGCTTTAATGGATGAGTGGGTTTGGGAGAAAGATTATTCCAGACTCAGAGAATTATTAATGCCAAATCAGAGAGGTGTAATAGCATACTGCACATCTGGAAAACTGAACATTTTGAGATGGTAGGAGTGTAAGATTTGGTGTAACGTTTCTTGAGCAGCATTCATTACTGTGTGTCAGGCACCGAGCTATGCACTGAGAACTATACCGGAGAATAAGAGAGATAAAGTCCCTGATCCTTTGAACTTTAAAATATAATTGGGGAACACGTGTAATTATATCATTACAAATGTCATAAATGCTAAGAAAGAAAATTAGAAGGTATTATGAAAGTGTATATCAGGCAAATTTAAGGATAATTCTGGAGAATCAGAAAAGGCAGTCAGGAAAGTAATTTAAGCTGTAATCTGAAGGATGAATCTGAGTAAATTATCAGAGGGGATGGAAAGAGTTTGGTTTGCATGGTAAATAAGGGGAACAGAAAATGTAAAAGCATTAGAAGTGATGATAAATTTGGGGAATGAAAAGGCTAGTAATAAAACTACAGTGAGCTGGGAGAAAAGAAGCATGAAATAAAGCTGAAGAGGTAGGCAAGGGAGTAGATATATGTGAAGAATGGATTAAGAATGTAGCAGTACAAGCAAGAATTGATGTGCCATGGATTTGGATGGCAATAAAGAAGACAAACTGGATGGACTTGAGATGTACTTTGGAGTGGGAGGTGATAGAATTTGTAATTGGGTACGGAGCATTAGGGAGGGGGAGCACAAAGAATGCTTTTTAGGTTGTTAGCATGAAAACTGTTGGATAGTGGTGCCATTCATTGAGAATGGATAACACTGAAGGAAGAAAAAGCTGGAGGGAGGTTGAACACAATCATGAATTTAAGACATGCTGAATTTGAGGTGCCTATGAGACAATGAAGTGGAAACGGTGAGTAGGTTTTTAGATACTCAGAAGACTCATTTGAGCTAGAATATAAAACTGGCAGTTGTCACATGGCTGTCACATGGCATTTTAGCACAGAACTGGATGACATGGTCTAGGTAGAAAGACAATTATGGAGAACTGGGCAAAGACTAAACCTTGAAAACTCAGCTATTTAAAGATCACGTACAAGAGGATAGGCAGCAAAGAACACTAAGCAGCAGCAGTCAGGATATTAGGAAGAAAAGAAGTATGACAGAAGACAAAGGAAAAAAGCATTTGTAGAGTATCCACTGGCTTTAGCAACATGGTGGTGACTTAAACATGAATCCCCAAAAGGGTATATACAAGTTGTAAGAAGATGAGAAACCAAACTGAAGTAGGTTAAGCAGTAAATGCTGGAACAAGAACATGAAAGACCTTGAATACTGAGGATTCTGAATTCTACTTTGTGGGCAACAGTGAATTACTGAAATTCTGAAAGAGAATACCAGGACCTGATCTATAACTCAAGAAAACAACTGACAAGAGTTAAGAAAGGGTTGGAAAACTAGCTAAGAAAATGTTAGAAAGCTTCTGTAGGAATCCATGGAAAAAAAAGATATAACAGACATTGAAAAGTTGAGTTGTTACCTTGCTGTTGGAAGAGTTTGATGACACTTTTTCTGGGCTCTTGGATTTTTCTGCTTTCCCAGGCTTCTCAGTAGGCTCTTTGTCATTTAAAGATTTCTGGGATTTATCAAAGATGTTAATTCCCAAGATCTGAGCTACTTTGTCCAGTTCAGATTGCTTCTTTTCTGCCTCTTCTGCTTCTTGTCGTAGCTCTGCGATGTCCTTCATAATGTTATCCTGAAGCCGACTCACCTCCACTAGAAGTGGGTCTTTGTGGCCATCCTTTTCCCTTCGTTTCTTGCGTAGCATTTCCCCTGATTAGTCAAATGTCAACAAAAAGAAACAGGAAAAATAAGATAAGTCCTTTCTCATTTATAAGTAGTAATATTATCAGGGCTTTATGTTTGTAATGTATTTTCCCGGCTACCACAAAAGTTTCTAAGAGCAGCTGGGCTCGGTGGCTCAGTCTGTAATCCCGCGCCTTTGGGAGGCTGAGGTGAGTGGATTGCCTGAGCCTGAGGGTTCAAGAGCCGCCTGGGCAGGTGAGACCTCATCTCTACAATAAAATCAAAAAATTAGCCGGGCGTGGTAGCGCATGCCTGTAATTCTGGCTACTCGGAAGGCTGAGGTGGAAGAATCGCCGGAGCCCAGTAGGTAGAGGCTGCGGTGGCCGGGAGCGGCCACTGCACTCCAGTCTGGGCGACAGAGTGAGACTCCAACTCAAAAAAGAAGTTTCTAAGAGCAAGTAAGACTTCCACGTGGGCTGGTATAGGTGAAGCTTCTACAAAAGCTCATCACCCATCTTTTGTGTAAGAGTTATTAGCTAAGGATCTATAGACAGGTTTCAGGGGCTCCATAAATGCCCATAATAGCATATATAGGTTTAGTGGCCTTTTCTTCTGAAAAGGTTAATAAATGTTGTTAAGTATAAATCTGGTAGCTGTTCTCTCTCTAGAGAGCTAAAAAATTATTCAGAGGGTAAAAAAATTAAAGTCATACATGTGACTTTATGTGATTTGAATAAACTTTAACAATTTCTTTGAGTTTTTTTTTGGTTGTGCCTCAGGCTTACCTAGTGCTACCTCCTATTCTAAGCTATAGGTCCTCATGAATAAACCTCACAGGATAACTAAATTTCTCATCCCTAAAGAGTCCAAATCCATACAGAAGCAATTATATCTTTTCCTATTCTCTGTTCTTTCATATTATCACCAACCTGCAGTATTTAGAAGCCTTATTATATTCTTTCCTCACTGTGTATGTGAATTCCTAAAACCACAGATGAAAAGATTTCAGAATAAAAAGTTGAGGTATCATGGAACATTGTTTTGTGCCAAAAAGTAAGGAAGTACTCAAAACATGTTGGGGGTGTAACAAAACAACACAGGAGCCAACTCAAAGGGGCTCCCATTGGTCAGGTCTGGAATAATTTGAGCCTGAAAATAAATAATGATAATAAAGGGTTATAAGCCAGGCTCGGTGGCTCAGCCTGTAATCCCGTGCCTTTGGGAGGCTGAGGTGAGTGGATTGCCTGAGCCCACGGGTTCGAGACCCGCCTGGGCAACTTGGCGAGATCTCATCTCTACAATAAATCAAAAAATTAGCCAGGCGTGGTAGTGGGCACCTGTAGTTCCAGCTACTTGGAAGGCTGAGGCAGAAGGATCGCCAGAGCCCAGCAGGTTGAGGCTGCGGTGGCCGAGAGCAGCCACTGCACTCCAGTCTGGGTGACAGAGTGAGACTCGAACTTGGAAAAAAAAAAAAAGGGTGATAATCTATTGAATGAAGACTCCATTAATTCACACTACTATAAATGAACAAAAAAGGGACTGAGGGTTGGGAAGTTCCTCCTTAGGGTAGGAAGTCAACTAATAAAGGTAGAAAGAATAACGAAATTAGAAAATCACTATTTAATAACCACCGTAATAATAACTGATTCAGGCAAAAGTCATCAATGGATGCTAAAACTAGAGAGTGAAAGTTTGAGGAGTAACTGAATATTTACAGTATCAAAGTATCTTCCCTATAAGATACTTATTAATTTTAAAAGACAGAATAGTAACTTTACAATGGAGAAACCTGGCAGATGCCACCTTAACCAAATGATCAACATTAACATCACCAGTAATGGGACAAATCAACACCTGATATGAATTCGGCAAAATTTCTGTGATATTCTTGCCAAAAATGAATAACCTGAATTTAATCATAAGGAAATATCAGACAAATTAAAATTATAGGACATTCTACAAAATATGCAACTTCTTTTCTTTTTCAGAATATCGGTGTTACAAATACAAAAATTCAGGAACTGTTACAGATTAAAGACTGAATGTGATTAATAATTTCACACTTTTGCTATAAAGAGCATTATTGGGACAACTGGTGAGATATGAATAAGATTGGTACACTGGATAATAGTATTGTATCACTGTTAATATCCTAATTATAAGTATATTATAGTTATGTATGTAAATTATTTATAGTTAGAAGATACACTTAATTACTTAAGTGTATTTACTTGTATATTTAGGAGCAAAAGAGTACCATATCTGCAACTTACTCTGAAAGAGTTCAGAAAAAATTACACACACACACACACACACACACACACACACAGATTGAGAGAAATAAAAAGAGTAAATGTAATACAATGTTAATAATCTGGGAGAGGAGTATCTGAGAACTCTTCACATTATTATTGCAACTTTTCTTTAAGTCTAATTACTTCAAAAAACTTTTAAAAGTGAGGTTTCAGGTCACTGAACTTGTCTGAGAGTACCAAACTACTCCATTTAGGTCTCTTACTCCAGTTATTACAAAAATGCAGTCATGCATAGGAGCTGTCTGATACCTTGTTGTTTATGAAGCCGCTCCAACTCAGTCCTGAGATAGTACATCTTCTTCTGACGGGCTTCCCGGTCACACTTTAGTTTTTCCCTCTCTTCAATAACCTGCAAAGTACAAAATGGTAAGAGAGTCCATCACCCTCCCACATCCATCTTCCCTTTTCTATTTCTCTGTTTCAGAAGCTCACGCTAGATATTACCTGAATATAAGGATCCAAATGTCAGAACATAAAGATATTTCATTTGATCTAAGTTCCAGGAGATCATTTTTTAAAACCACATTGCCTAGAAGTATTGTTTTTATGCAAGAAGTACCTAAAGCCACTGACAGCAACTATTAGTAGTTTTGAGTCCAAAGGGGATCACGTAGAAGGGAACTAATGTGCTATGGGTGAAGCACTGTATTAGTTACATATTTCATGTTATTTAGTTCTCACATTTTCTCTAATTTACAGTAAGAAAAATGAACATGTGTAAGATTAAGTAACTTACCCAAAGTCAGAGTTATAGCAGGTTTAAAATTCAAGTATACCTGCTCTAAAGCTCATGATCTTTCAATTATATTACTACCAAATATAGCTTGTCCATAATAGACCAGTGTATAATAGATCTGTGTATCTATATTAGGCCTATGTATTAACTGCACTGACTTAAGAGCTAAGCTTGTAAAAGAAAAGTTAAGAAAAAGTACACAGTTAGCCGGGCTCAGTGGCTCAGCCTGTAATCCCGCGCCTTTGGGAGGCTGAGGTGAGTGGATTGCCTGAGCCTGCGAGTTCGAGACCCACCTGGGCAGCGAGACCTCATCTCTACAATAAATCAAAAAATCAGCCGGGCGTGGTAGCACATGCCTGTATTCCGGCTACTTGGAAGGCTGAGGTGGAAGGATCACCAGAGCCCAGCAGGTCGAGGCTGCGGTGGCCGGGAGCAGCCACTGCACTCCAGTCTGGGCGACAGAGTGAGACTCTAACTCAAAAAAAAAAAAAAAAAAAAGTACACAGTCTCCAAACACTGTCTCTGATGTCTTACATTTTGTCTTTATTGAACCTATTCCCCTCTTCAATAAAACTAAAGACTGACGTGCAGGGTATCTCAGTTCAACAGAAAATTAAGAGATCCATGGGGATCCTTGTCTTCCCAACGACAGGCTAAAAAAAATTTTTTTTTTTTTTGAGTTGGAGTCTCACTCAGTCGCCCAGACTGGAGTGCAGTGATGGCTCCCGGCCACCGCAGCCTCAACCTCCGGCGATCCTTTCGCCTCAGTCTTCCAAGTAGCTGGAACAACAGGTGTGCGCTACCATGCCCGGCTAATTTTTTGATTTATTGTAGAGATGAGGTCTCGCCAAGTTGCCCAGGCGGGTGTCGAACCCGTGGGCTCAGGCAATCCACTCATCTCAGCCTCCCAAAGGCACGGGATTACAGGCTGAGTCACCGAGCCCGACTAGGCTAAAATTTTTTTAACTGGAAAAATATGAGACGAGTTCTCCAATTTTTTCTTTTCTTTTTTTTCTCCTCAGGTTTTAACTATTTTATAAGCAAATCAAATGTATACATATTGCATTTTTATGTTTCTAAGGACCTTTAGAATAGCTGTATTAATTTTCCAAAATTCTCCTGTTCTGTATTCCTTATCCTGATATGGTTTTTACCTACTGCTATGAATTATCAGAATTGTTAGAATTATTAGGTCTTTATTCTAACCACTGCTCCCTTCCCACAGCCTGGAAAACCAATGAACAATACAAAAATTGATTTTTTTTTGAAAAAGAAAGTGTCACAAAAATGTTATTGTTAATCCTGGACACTACGATAAACCAGAACAAGCAAAGCTTATTTCTTGATCCGCTTTAATTAGCAAGACAACTAGTTATTTGCTTTTAACTCCCATAATCACTACAGAATAAGAATCCAGAATTCACTGAGATAAAACATAGGTTTACTGATTCTCTTTTACCCAACTCAATTTTGGTTCCTCACTCCACAATGAGGTCATTTTGAAGACTTCAGGGCTCCTAGTTTCTACTCACAGTGCTCTAAACCACTATGGGTAGTGAAATAACTTAAAAAGAAATGTCTAGCAATCTTTGTAGGACGTAGGGTTAGACTTTTCTTTAGCCCTAATGATAAAACAGGTGAAAACAGAGGGGCTATACATATTTCTTAGGATAATGACAGCAGCCTCCAAAGAACTTATTTCAACCTCCTATAATAGATATATACAAATTTACGTCAAAACAGAAAATTCAAGCACATGATACCCAAAGCTAATACTCACCTTCTGCTTCTGGGAAGCACAGTTCTTCTCATCAGAGATCTTCTCTGGATTATATCTTATGAGCGATGGGATGGACACCTGGACAGGCACTTGGGCTGCAGGAATTGAGCCTAGCACTGACTCTTCCTGCTTGGGCTCATCAGGAGTCACAGTGGGGATCACACGGAGATTGGGTCGGCTACGAGTAGCTTGTTTGGTTGCTGGCATTATCCTATGTGGTTCAGGGAGAGGATGGTTTGATGGTTGAGAGGCAGGGTACATGGGCCATCTTGAGGCTGCATATGCCATGTAGTGCCTATAGGCATCAAAGGAGGCAGGGGAAATGGCAGGTCCCTGGTAGTTTGGAGGTATCCGAGCTGCAGCAAACTGAGAGGCCCTTGGCACATGAAACTGAGATAAAGAAGTAGAATGTGAAAGCCTAATTGGGGCCGATGGAGCTGATGGCAACATGCACCTGACTGCAACAGATGACTGAAATCCGCTGCCAACCAACTCTGGTCCTGAAATATGACCCAATGAATGGTCAGATTTTAGAAATGGGGGACTATTTTTTGTGAGCAAGTAAGGATCCACAGGGGAGGCAGGGTGTGGATGGGACACCTCTGGGGAGTGGGTATTACTATGGTGTGTCTCCCTGTTCTCTACTCTGTGAGGATCTGAGGAATGCCGATCAGCTGAGAAACGATGGTCAACTGAGGAACAGCGGTCAGCTGAAAAGTGTCGGTCAACTGAAGAATGGCGGTCAGCTGAAGAGCGTGATGATGGCTTCTTGCCATGAAGTCGTTCCTGGGTGCGTGCAGCCAGCTTACTAATCTCTGCTACTCCAATATCCAGCCCAATGGTCTTGAGCAAGTCATGAATCTTGGCATATTCTGGGTTGGTCTCTTCTAGTGATTCCAGCTTTATAGCTGGAGCAGAAGAGGGCAGAGAGCTTGCCTTTTGCCGCATAACATCACTCTCAGAGCCCCCAAGGGGCTTTGGTAGGGATTCTATCTTTAAATCCTCTTCTTCATCCCCATAGAGAAATTTTTCCTCATCCTCAATGTCAGGGAAGCTACGTCGCCTTTTTTCCTGTGTACTGGTAGAATCAGCTAACATGCTCAGAATGCGGGAAAAACCACTGCCATCCTGGCTAGCTCTCTCATGGGGCAGCAAGAAGTCTGTGTGTCGCTCAGGTCCCTCAGCCTTCAAATCCAGTTTCTCCTTGTGACACAGAAAGCTTCCAAATTTTTCTCTGAGAGGACTGTTGTCTTTGGGCATCCCAGGGAGGGGACCCCATTGGTAAAGGCTGCCCTGAGGTTCCTTATTAAGGGCAGTCTCTACCATAGTCCCCTTGTTTTCAATCTCTGAGGCAAAAGCAGCAATAGCACCACTTAGTGGAAGAGATGGGTGTCCAGAGTAGAGAGGGTGATCCTGGCTGGAGCTGGTATTGCTGGAAAAACTCTCAACCTGAAAAGACAAAACACAACTGATTTAGCCTCTGTGCAGAATCTCAGAACACTAGACATTCAGATAAGTACTTTGTTTTTCCTGAGTTAACAGGTGAGTTACAAGTATGGATAACAGGGAGGAAAAGTACCCTTAGCCAGGTGCAAGATGACTCTCCCTTTCTCTGATGTTTCTACTGTAGCAAGGAGAAATAGGAAATAAGGCAGACTGGATGGAATCCTCACCTTTGTCCATTTGTTATTAGTATTTGCCAAGGAATTTGAATTCAAAAGGATTTTAGAGATCCTCTAACCTGTTTCCTTTTCTATAGATTCCCAAAAGAAAAAACATAAAAGTGAAATTGCTTCAGCTACAGTGGGGCCAGGAAACTCTGGAACCCTAATTGATCAACCTCCCCTTGCTTCTCTAATTACCCTTGAAAACATCTTCAGAAGGCATTAGGTCCTAAGAAGACTAAAAACTAGAGCATGTTAGAATCAGGTAACCTAGTGGTCTTGCCTGACCATCTTTTCATAAGAGAGAAAAAAATATAAAGGCCCAGAATAGTGAGGTGACTTGTCTAAAAATCACACAGCAAGTTGGTGGCAGTGGTGGGTCCAAAATCAGAATCACTTGATTTCTGGTTCTGTGTCCTATAACTCATATGCTGGCTTCTCTACAAAGAGAGATGAGGAAATTGAGATCACCTCCTCTCCTCGCCCTTCAAGCTTCATCTCCAAGAAAGCCATATTCAAAGATTCCTAAGACTATCCAATTTAAGGAAAAAAACTTACAGTAAATACTCTCCAAAATGTCTGTCTAGAAAACCTAATATATGGCAACAGGATCCCTCTAGTCCTAGAAGGTGTAGCTCACAGACATCATAATGTTGGTTCAGCATATATTACAAAGATATTATTAGAGACACAGCCCCAGGGGAGTGACCAGGCTTTAAAAATAGTAGAAATACTAGCAAGAGATCCTAGAACAAATGCAGCAGAGACCTGTATGGAAGGCTCCATGTCCACCTCAATCCGTTTCTTCAGAATGGACTTCTTGGGCATCACAGATACTTCCTCAGGTCGATGCAAAGAATATCCTGGCTCCGACGCTGTTAGGACACCTGACAATCCAGGGATGGAACAGCCAGTAGCACCACCATCAACTCCCACCAGCTCCTGACTCAAGCTCCTACTTCGTTCCTCCTCTTCTTCTCGCTTTCGCCTGGCAAGATCCAGCTCTCGAAACTCAGGATCTAGAAATCTAGGGCTAGGGCTTGGGCTTCGTCTGCGCTGTCGATAGTTGCGGGTCCCTGATGTAAAACTTGGGTGATCCCCTCCCATGCTGTGTATCTTCTCCGTGTCATCATAACGGGGTCTTTTGGCTTCCCGGCTCCTTTCCTCAGATCGTATAGAGTAGGAACCTTTGAGTTTGTCTCTATTCCGTTCTGTTCCCCGCAACAGCTCATCATGACAACTGACATGGGAACTATAATCAGATCGATGCAGGAAAGTTTCTCTTGCTCGGTAGTCCTCATCAAGTTGTCCCAAGAAAGGACTGAGAGGCCCCTCCTCCTGGGAAATATATCGCTCAAGACCCCGAGAGCACTGGGAGCTTCGGGTGAAGACAGAATCATCAGTTAGGTCATCTCTGAGGAAAGAGACAAGCATCACTGAACATAATGGACTTGGAAAGAGTAAGAACAGACAAGGCTAAGAGACTGACATTTGGCAAGGGGGCTATATAGAATGCTTATGGTAAAAGACCATAATCATGAAGTCCAAGAACACTTCTTGGTTGGGCGTGGTGGCTCATGCCTATAATCCCAGCACTTTGGGAGGCCAAGACAAGAGGATTGCCTGAGCCCTCAAACCTATGTTTGAGACCAGCCTGGGCAACTTGGCAAGACCTCATCTCTACAATAAATAAAAACATTAACGGGGCATGGTGGTGCGTGCCTGTAGTTTCAACTACTTGGAAGGCTAAGGCAGAAGGATCACCTGAGCCCAGCAGGTCAAGGCAGCAGTGGCCATGAGCGTGCCACTGCACTCCAGCCAGGGTGACAGAGTGAGACTCTGACTCAAAAAAAAAAAAGAACACTTCTCCCTTTCCCCAGTGTCACAAGAAGCTTCAGCCTCTAAACAAGGGTAATATTACCAATATATTTAGACAGACCTTTTAGGTAATTTCTTTGGCTAGACTTTGAGGATGCAGAGTATCACACAGGTTACACAACTCCACACAAGCTAAATTCTACCTCTTTGCTATTCCAAGTGTGATATGGACCAATAGCATTAGCATTACCTGGGAACTTTTTAGAAATACAGTTTTTCAGGTTCCACCCCAGGCCTACTGAACCAGAATCTGCATTTTAACAAGACTTTCAGGTGATTTGTTTGTACTTTAAAGTTTGAGAAACACCAGTCCAGATCAATGGTTTTAAGTTGTATTCCACAAAGATTCTAAGGGATGCTCAAGAGCTGGCAAAAGCAGAACTGGCAGGGTCCTGGGCCTTCCACCCCAGTTAAATCATAGTAGCCTCAACATTATATCTGTAAATTCAAGTTCTGTATAATATTTTTTTTTTCTTGAGTTGGAGTCTCACTCTGTCACCCAGGCGGGACTGCAGTGGCGTGCTCACAGCCACTGCAGCCTCGACCTGTGCACTACCATACACAGCTAATTTTTGATTTATTGTAGAGACAAGGTCTCACCAAGTTGCCCGGGTGGGTCTCTAACCCCTGGGCTTAGGCAATCCTCTCGCCTTGGCCTCCCAAAGTGCTGGGATTACAGACTTGAGACATTGCACCTAACTGTATATTTCATTTGGAATAAAGGGTTTCACTGTGGAGAAATTTTTTATAGCTACCAGTCTATCTAATTAGCATAATTTTATCATGTTTATAAGGTTCGCCAACACCTTTAATATGTGTCACTGGCTCACATATTAAAAACCACAAAACTTCCTCACAGTATGTTTTGTTATTCTCTTTCCTGCCTTGCCTGAATATCCACAACACTCTCCTAATCTTGGGCTCAGGAAAGAACAAGTGATGGTTTGGTTCACTGTTTTCATTTCATAGAAATACAAGGATCTTGAAACTTTGTGGCATGAAGGTAAGGGACATCTGTTCTTTCAGCTCAGAACTCTACACCACATACAACAGTCCTAACCTTTTTGGGCAATATGGCCACAGAGTTTCCATGAGTCAAAAATTAAGTTTCTGATTTAAATCATAGAAATAAAAATCCTCTAGCACTTAGGTATGTAACTTTTAAGTAATCTGAATGAAAAATAAAAGTGCTGAAATGCCACTCATATTCCAGAGATAATTACCATTTAGAGAATGGTAATTATTGGTGTCATCTACAGTTTTCTTTTGGTTTTTGAGTCAGGGTCTCACTCGGTCTCCCAGGCACACTCACAGCTACCACAGCCTTGACCTGCTGGTCTCAGGCAATCCTTCCACCTCAGCCTTCCAAGTAGCTGAAAATACAGGCGCATACCACAATGCTTGGCTAATTTTTTTTTTTTTTTTTGAGTTGGAGTCTCACTCTGTCGCCCAGACTGGAGTGCAGTGGCACGCTACCGGGCACTGCAGCCTCGACCTGCTGGACTCCGGTGATCCTTCTGCCTCAGCCTTCCAATTAGCTGGAATTCCAGGCGCGCGCTACTACACCCTGCTAATTTTTTTATTTATTGTAGAGATGAGGTCTCACCAAGTTGCCCAGGCAGGTCTTGAACCCGCGGGCTCAGGCTATCCACTCACCTCAGCCTCCCAAGGTGCGGGATTACAGGCCGAGTTCGGCTTCATTTTTTTTTTTCTTTTTAAATTGTAGAGACAAAGTCTTGCCAAGTTTCCTAGGCTGGCCTTGAACCCCTGGGCTCAGGCAATCCTCTTGCCTCTGCCTTCCATAGTACTGTGATTACAGATGTGAGCCACTGTGCCCAGATTCTTCTACAGTTTCTAGCAGCTACTTTTGTTTTGAGTTTCTAGAAATGATTTTTCCTTGTTTTTTAATAGTTGCTTTCCTATCTCAGGGACTATGTTAGCAGAACATCAAAAAGTTTCCTTTTTCTTATTCACCAGCCCTGCCTTTGTTCAAAGATGTAGAATTGAGCAACAGCTAAAAGTAATTTAAGAAAAGCTATCCGCCAGGCTCGGTGGCTCAGCCTGTAATCACGCGCCTTTGGGAGGCTGAGGTTTGTGGACTGCCTAAGCCCACGGGTTCAAGACCCGCCTGGGCAGTGAGACCTCATCTCTACAATAAATCAAAATATCAGCCAGGTGTGGTAGCGCATGCCTGTAATTCCGGTTACTTGGAAGGCTGAGGCGGAAAGATCGCCGGAGCCCATAAGGTGGAGGCTGCGGTGGCCGGGAGCGGCCACTGCACTCCAGTCTGGGTGACAGAGTGAGACTCCAACTCAAAAAAAAGAAAAGCTATCAAGGATAATCTCTATTACCTCCTCTACTAGGAATGCTACCATTGGGAATCTAGGTTCCTGTTACCTACTTCCTCCTCAAGAATCTGGGAAACTTTGAGGTTTCAATGTAGTATGAAATAGAAAGAAATGAGAATAAACCAGGGATGATTTCTGAAATCAAACTTAACAAAAGAAAAAATTTCAGGAAGGAATGTTAATGAGTTGAGTCACTCCATTGCCAAAACACCATCTATTATCAAAAGAAAGTCTCTGATCATATTAGTGGAGAGAAAAAAAAACATAAGCTCCATGGCAAGTTCATCCATACTCCCATGTTCAGCTCCCCACTAGAACCATTACATGTCACCACCAAATGGTATAGTAGCCCAAGATCTAATCCAGCACTAAGTATCAAGAAGCTAGAATTAAGAAGATGGCTCTCAGAAAACATCAGTCTAGACTTGGAATCTCCAGCAAAAGAAGGCACAAACAATGAAAAAGGGAATAAAAACAGTAAAATGAGAGGACAAAAAATACCATCACATAAATATAGGCAGGAATCGGGTTGCTTATTAGAAGCTCATGCACTCCTTCCCTAGGACTTCCAAAGGATAAGAGAACTGACTGCAGTAAGAGCCCTAAAAAGAATGAGCCCTAAAAAGAGTGAGCCCTAAAAAGGGCCAATAGCCTGAAATAGTCCGGTGATGGACACTCTTTGAAAGCCTTGGTTAAGTCCAACTGTTATCTAAAATAAGGTCTATCAATTTTAAAAACTGAATGTTGGAATAGGTGATGGGTACCTGAGAGTTCACTGTACTAGTCTACTTTTTTATGCATTCAAATGCCCATTAAATAAGTTTTAGGCTGGGCTTGGTAGCTCAGCCTGTAATCCCAGCGCTTTGGGAGGCCGAGGTGAGTGGATTGCCTGAGCCCGTGCGTTTGAGACCGGCCCAGGCAACTTGGTGAGACCTCATCTCTACGATAAATCAAAAATTAGCTGGGTGTGGTAGCACACGCCTATAATTCCGGCTACTTGGAAGGCTGAGGTGGAAGGATCGCTGGAGCCCAGCAGGTTGAGGCTGCAGTAGCCGGGAGCACTCTGGGTGACAGAGTGAGACTGCAACTCAAAAAAAAAAAAAAAAAAAGGTTTAAAATGTGCTTACATCCACATAAAAGCTTATACAGCAATGTTGATAGCAGCATTATTCATACCAGCCAAAAAGTGAAAGCAAACCAAATATATCCATTCATTTACTACTGATGAATGGATAAACAAAATGTGGTATCATCCACACAGTGAAATATTACCAGGAATGCTACGAACATGGATAAACCTTAAAAACATGCCGAGTGAAAGAAGCCATTCACAAAGGGCCATATATTGTATGATCCTATTTATAGGAAATGTCCAAAATAGGCACATCTATAGAGACGTAGATTGGTGATTGCCTATGGCTAAGGGTATTCTAGGGGGAATAATGACTAAAGGTACAGGGTTTCTTTCTGGCATAATAAAAATGTTCTCAAGTTGACTATAGTGGTGGGTAAACAACTCTGTGAATATATTAAAAGTCACTAAACTGTATACTTTAAATGGATTAACTGTATGGTATATGAAGTTATGAAGTAGATGTCAATAAGCTGTTAAAAATGTACATTAAAAAATAAAGATGTCTTCAGAGCCTAAAGTTGCCATTCTTTTCCTTAGGTAAGTGCTCAAAGTGCCCCAAGAAATCTGTTTGTGTTTATTTCTTAAGGTTAATCAGAGAGGAAAAAATTTATACTTTTTCAATCTATGTTAAGGCAAGAAGAAGTAATTAGGAGATACAAATTACATATGTGAAATATTTACTGTGCAAATTACTTTGATGAACAGGAGAAACTGACTTCATATCCACAAGTCTTTAGAAGTCAAGTGTCTTAGAATTTTTTACACAACCATTCAGGTTTCCTTTTCAGAACAAGTTATAATCCTACACACAGGGCTGCTGTGGTGAGGACACTAACAACCCTGGCAACTTAGTTGTCACCTAAGCCTAATATAAAACTTAACAGATTCAGTAAAGGAAGATAAAAAATACTAGGGTCTCAGGAAAAAAATAACCATCTATATACAAAGGATGGAAATGGCCTTTCACTGGTTGGAGACCAGACACATTGTCAGGAGACATCCTGAGTATGACACTGGTTTTGTGGCCTGGTTTTAGTGGATAGTAATTATCCACACAAACCATACTGAGCAAGAGAGAAGGAACACAAATGTACAAAAGACAATAGTATAAAGAATGACCTTGAGCTGAGCACAGTGGCTCACGCCTATAATTCCAGCACTTTGGGAGGTGGAGGCAAGAGGACTGCCTGAGTCCAGGGGTTCGAGACCAGCCTGAACAACTTGGTGAGACCTTGTCTCTACAATAAATCAAAAAATCAGCAGTGCATGGTGACGCATGCCTGTGGTTCCAGCACTTGGAAGGCTGAGGTGGAAGGATTGCCTGAGCCTAGGAGGTCGAGGCTGCAGTGGCCATGAGTGTGCACCACCTCACTCCATCCTGGGTGACAGTGAAACTCCTACTCAAAAAAAAAAAAAAAAGAATGGCTTTGTACCTTTATTTAGAACCTTAATCCCATTTTCCCTAAAAGAGATCTCTCTCTGAAACACATGATTCTAGAAAGATTGCCCCAAATTCCCTAAAAGGAAATTTTTAATTCTTATAATTTAAAAATACACTTGGCCATCTGAAGCATACATGCATAATAAACACAAAAGGGAGGTGACATCCTAGGTCTCATAAGAGGAAGTGCTGAAGTTAACTCAAAACCTCAGCAAGGAAGGAAGACAATCACACTAAGCACCACCTACCCAGACTACCTACTCAACCATCTCCCAAAAATAGAAGCAGTTCGAAGAGCAATGGCTGTTACCTCAATTAAGTGATACAGTCACATATCTTGAAGCCCTATCTTCAGAAGCTTCTGTGTTATATGATATAAGATTGTCCTGCCTTGCTTTACTGAATCTACAGCCACTGGAGCTTTGAAATAAATGTTATCAGTGGCAGCATTGGTCCTCAGACTTCCTGCCCTGGTGTCTCCCATGTGCCTGTCTATATTCTATGTACCACTACATGGGACAGTCCCAGTTCGAAAGAATACTAAATTGATTTATTTCTATTGCTAAATCATTTGTAAAAACTCTCAACGTGCTGGGCAGAGACCCTAACATACATGGTTAACAACATTACCTCTGAGAAAGAGTGCTTTCCTGCACTCTCCTTATACTTTTTTACTTTTTGTGAGGTGAAAAACAATGTGATTATTTACATCTACATAGAGTTAAGCTCCTAGTATCGGAAGTCTATATTCAACACTCTGTGGAATGCATTTGCCATTTTTCAGCACTCATTTGTTGTAAAGTAATAACTGAACTTAAACATTTTTAAAGATTTCTATTAATACTTTACATGTATCAGACATGAATTTACCTAAACCCTTTCTGATCTATATTTTAGCTTGGAAAAAAAAGAGAGCCATCAAAAAAAAAGATTTCCAGGGGGGTTCAGTGGCTCAGCCTGTAAGCCCAGCACTTTGGGAAGCCAAGGCGAGTGGACTCCCTGAGCCCATAGGTTCGAGATCAGCCCGGGCAACTTGGCGTGACCTCAGCTCTACAATGAAATTTTAAAAAATTTGCTGGGCGTGGTAGTGTGCGCCTGTAGTTCCGGCTACTCGGAAGGCTGAGGTGGAAGGATCGCCAGAGCCCAGCAGGTCGAGGCTGTAGTGGCCAGGAGCTTGCTACTGCACTCCAGTCTGGGCGACAGAGTGAGACTCCAACTCAAAAAAAAAAAAAAAAAAAAAAGATTTCCTACTTTGTCCAGAATTTTTTTTTTTGCAGAAGGGACCCTTCATGGTTCCAGTATTTTAGAATCCATACCATTTCAACTGTTTTTGATTTGGGGAACTCTAATTATGGCCCCTTAGCCTCCTTTTTATAGTAAGACCAGGATAACCTTTTTAAAGTCTTCTATATAATTCACTCAGCAACAAAGTTGACACCACTATAATCTCTCCACTCAGAAAGCCTTTTCCAATGTTATACTTTGTACTGGACACGTGGCATAGGAAGTAACTTCAGTGCGGCATCATTCTTTCAAATATGTCATTCAGAAAATAGCAATACTTCTAACTTCAAATACTAGTATAGTGCACCTGCCTTAGCTGAAGCCTACCTGTCCATGTCCTCCAGATTATCCACTGGTGATCCCAGTCGATCACTAAGTCGTCGCTGTTCTGGTGTGCTAACACAGAAATGGTCATTACCAACAGTGATCCTTAAGCTCTGATCCAAAGAAGAGTCAGGACGCAGACCAGGAGAGCGTCTCTATAAAAATAAAAAATAATATGGTTATTCAATAGGGTCAAGAAATTCCTACACTCAGAAACAAGGGTCCTAAAACTTTTAAAACAGGGAGCCAGTTCACTGTCCCTCAGACAGTTGGAGGGGCGGACTGTAGTTCAAAAAAAAAAAAAAGGAATTTGTTCATAGTTTTTTTTTTTTAAACTATGGTCCACCCCTCCAACGGTCTGAGGGACAGTGAACTGGCCCCCCGTTTTAAAAGTTTGAGGACCTCTGCTCAAAAACATCCTCCTCCCTAGTCACAAAACTATGATCCAACAAGGTGAGACATGGTTATGGTAAGACACTATTCCAAAAATAAAACACTTTTTAAAAATTATCATTTACTTAGAGATAAAAGCCCATACCTCTCATCTTCCCAGTGACCTCTCATTCTTACTGGGCATGGGAACAGAGAAATGAATCAAGTCCCTGCTCTCAAAATCTATAGATTTTTTTTTTTTGAGTCAAAGTCTCATTCTGTCACCCAGGCTGAAGCGCAGTGGCATGCTCATGGCCACGGCAGCATCAACCTGCTGGGCTCAGGTGATCCTTCTGCCCTAGCCTTCCAAGAAGCTGGAACCACAGGCATGTAAAAACATAATTTTTTGATTTATTGTAGAAACGAGGTCTTGCCATGTTGCTTAGGCTGGTCTTGAACCCCTGAGCTCAGGCAATCCTCTAGCCTCTGCCTCCCAAAGTGCTGGGATTATAGGTGTGAGCCACTGTGCCCAGCTATAAACCTATAGATTTCTAGTGAAGGAGACAAGTCAAAAACAGGTTTTAAGTTAAAAAAAAAGACAGTCCAGGTGCAGTGGCTCACACCTATAAGCCCAGCACCTTGGGAAGCAGAGGTGGGAGGATTGCTTGGACTCAGGAATTCTACACCAGCCTAGGGCAATATAGCAAGACTTCATCTCTAAAAAAATAAAAATAAAAAAATTAGCTGGGCGTGGTTATAAGCACCTGTAGTCTGAGCTACAGGAGACTGAGGTGGAAGATCACCTAAGCCCAGGAGGTTGAGGCAGCAGTAAGCCATAATTGTGCCACTGCATTCCAGCCTGGGAGACAGAGTGAGATACCCAAATAAAAAATTTTTAAAAAGTACTTCTGAAAACTGTATGTGTGAAAAAGTCATTCAAACATGATACTATGAAAGACACTAGGGAAAATGAGTTACTTCAGACAGAATAGATAGAAAAGGCTTTTCTAAGGTGATAATCTGAAGCTTGAATATTGAGATATTAGCCTTGCAAAGAACAATAGAAGGATGTTTCAAGCAAATGGAAGAACCACCTGGGTAATGAGCTTGGCATGTTTTAAGCAAAAAAAAGGCAGCTAGTGTGGCTGCAACAAAGTGACAGAAGAGGATAAGATAGGCAGAAACCATGGAAATTTTTATTTTATTCTTAAGAGCTACAGGAGGGTTTTAAGCAGGCAAGTGATATCATCTGACTACATTTTTCCTCCAGATGCTAACACTGCTCCTCTTTCAGGTCTTTATTAAAAAATCACCTTAACTTCCTTATTTTCTTAGCACTTAATCACATTTAACATTCAACACCCCCTGCTAGAAGATAAACTTTACAAGGCTAAGAGTTTTCGTCTGGCTTGTTCACTGTTGTATTCCCAGGGCCCAGAACAGTGACCAATACACAGTAGATGCTCAAAAAATTCTTGTCAAATGTATAAAGTGAAGTTTAAAATTTTTTTTGATTGCTGTATACAGAATAAACTGGAGAGTAGCAAGAATGGAGTGTAAAAGAGCCAAATGCAACAATCCAGAAAAGAGGTAATAGAGCTTAGACCAGAGTAATGGCAGAAAGAAGAGTTTTGGGGATGGAGTTAGAGTTAACAGGCTAGACAGATGAGGTTAATCTAACAGATGAAATGAAGGGAGAAGGAAGATGATGACTGTTTCTGACTTGAGCAACAAATGAAACCTTTACCGAGACAGAGAAGACTTGAGCAAATAGTGCACTGGAGAAGGAAAGAGAGCCTGTGGCAACAAGCATTCTGTTCTTGCTTCCTCTGTAGTGATTGACACTCACACTGTCACTGTTCAACTTTGAAAATCTTAACACGGTGCCAAATCAATACACCTATGACTAGGTGAGAATGTCAATATCATTTCTAAACTAAACTTAATCTTATGCTCTGTGTTTCTAGCAGGGAAACATAAGTTAAAATCAAGGGTTTGGAGGACCAGCAGATCTGAGTTGAATCACAGCTCCACCACTTCTTGGGCTGTGTCACCTTGGTCGAATTACTTGACCCTCTCTGGGTTGGTTCCTCAGCTGTACAACAAGGAATAATACCAAACGCCTCACCTCAAAGGGTCGGGGGGGGGGGGCTCAAAGAAAATGTCAAGCGAAGGGCTAAGCATAATTCCTGCCATATAACTCAAAAACTGGTAGTGGCTATGACAATGACTGTGGTTATGCACATTTCACTTCGGAGAAGCAGCTCCAATTCAGATAACAGTTGACACTCTAGACGTCCAGCCTAATACGGTTCAAGCTTCCCTAACTCGCCACAAAGACGGACACCTCTGCTTCTTTTCTAAGATCCAGGGGGCTAGGTCGGGCGTGAGGGGATTAAAAACCACGGAACCCCGAGGCAACCTGTCGACTGTCCCAAAAGTACCGGGCCAACGGTTTGGACAAAAGCCCCCTCTCGCCCTGGCAAACTTTTTCACACCTCACCCACAGTGAGAGGAAGCGCCCATTCCTAAAAAACGAAGCACGCACTTGGGACCGGGCGTCCGTGCGAGCCCGGAGTCCGTTATTGTGTAAATGAAGCTCCGGGGCTGCCAGGGAGCTGCCAGGCCCCGGCATCGCCGAAGGGGCTGGGGGAGGCTTCGAGTTTAGGACCCTGGCCTGGAGGCCCGGGGGCTGGGGTGTGGAGGGAGTCCTGGTCGCGGGGTGGGATTACCCGGCT